AACTGAGGGAGAATGTCTCGGCACGTTTTTGATGCAGCTTAAGTCAAAGCGATATTTGAATCCAAGGCAGGTTGGGAAGAGGGAGCTAAGTCTAGAGCAGGGGTCACCAAACTACGGCCCCGCGGGCCGAATCCGGCCCGCGACGTCAGTCCATCAGGCCCGCCGACGGTACTTGAATTTGGTTGATAAAACGTATGGAACACGAGACGTTGTGATACAATTTAAATTTAAATATGTTTAGAATACTAGGAGATTTTCACGCGTGCGGAGACCTCCTTACTGCTATGTGCCTTAAATTTACTATTTTAAATTTTAAATTATTGTATCTAGATTTTCTTGTTTATTGTAATGTTTGCTTATTTCGCGCCATCCCAAGTCCTTCCCCGGCTCGTGGTAGCTCCGCCTACGCTCTGACGTTACCATGGTTTCCATGGCAACACACACAAGCACGCATCCTTCCCGCCCCCAAGTATTGAACAGAATGTTTATGCGGCCCGCGATCGTCATTCTATCAGTTATCCGGCCCGTTGTGAAAAAAGTTTCGTGACCCCTGGTCTAGAGCAATGACTTTAGCTCAAAATGTGCAGTCACTGATACCACCTGGATAGGACGTGCTGCAAACATTGTCTTTAGAGGAACTGAGGTACAGCCAGAAGCAGGACCCGTGATCTCGAGAGTGCTGTCATACCTGAATCGTAGGCGCGCATGCCATCCAGGCGTGAGAGACACAATGAGAGTACTGGGGTTAATCAGCTCCTACGGCAGTGGAAGAAACTGGAATTGCCGGATGGAGTAATGTAGAGTCGTGAAAAACCAACTATCTGGACGGAAGAGGACACCAGTATTGTTCCGAGAGAAGGCACTGGTTGGGATTCATGACTTGGCAGGTCACCAGGGACGAGAGAGGACTTTGAGCTTTGCAAGGGAGCGGTTCATTTGGCCAGGAATGGAGAGAGATATCAGGGAGAATGTCCACTGTTGTGGGCGATGCGTCATGGCAAAGACGCCGGAATCAGCGACACGGGCACCGCTGGAGAGTATGAAGATGACAGCTCCAATGGAATTAGTCTGCATGGATTTCTGGTGTTTCGGAAGACCGGCTACAGCACTCAGTTGATGTTGTGGTGGTGACAGACCATTTTACGAAGATGGCCCATGCCTTCCCTTGCATTAACCAGACGGCGAAGCAGGTGGCTCGGAAATTATGGGATAATGTATTTTGTATCTACGGATTCCCAGAAAGGATTCATTCGGACCAAGGCACTAATTTTGAGTGACCTCATCGCAGAGCTGATGACATTTGCAGGTGTGAAAAAGTCGCGAACAGCATATCATCCAATGAGAAATTGTGGAACGGAAAGATTTAACCGCACTTTGGTGGGGACATGCTAAAGTCGCTGCCACTCAGGGCCAAGCATGAGTGGCCTCTGCAGGTGCAGACTCTCACCTTCACATATAATGCAACGGTCCATGAGGCGACGGGATATTCCCCTTTCTACCTTATGTTTGGCCGTGTGCCACGTCTTCCGGTGGATGTTGTTTTCCGCAATGTGCAGAATGACCCAGTCGTGACGGACTACAGCACTTACGTGAAGACTTTAATGTCAGACCTGAAAGAGGCCGCAGCCATTGCCCAAAGCCACACTGTGAAGGTACAACGACAGCAAGCCATGGAGTATGACAAAAGAGCTAAGGGCATGTCCCTGAAAGAGGATGACCGGGTGCTTCTTGCCAACAAAGGTGAACGAGGACGTAGGAAACTTGCAAACAGGTGCAAACCGGTTTTGGACGTGGTAGCCGGTAGGAACTCATACATACAAGGTTATGGACCCAGTGGGAAACGCAAAGGTTGTACATCAAAATCTTTTGCTTGTAGTGAATTTCTTGTTTTTGCCCTTAGTCCTTCTTTCATCCCTGGCGTGTCCCTAACTCCGCCCCTGGCCACGCCCCCTTTCTAGAACTCTCTGGCCCGTTCCCGAACTTCCCTGTTGATTCCCTCTTGTTGCAACTCGCCCTCTATTATTTATCAACCCTGTAATTTCTGCTCGTGACCTCTAGTCCACGCACTTTCTTTGCACCCGCACTGTCTCCACACACATACTGTCTACACACATACTGTCTCCACACATGCACTGTCTCTACACTAGTACAGCACACCGGTGTGTTGGAGAGTAGATCCAAACTCACAATCTGATTACGACGTTTCGCCAGTCATTACAACTAGCATCATCAGGCGACAGACATATTTGTGGAGAAATCCTCCTGTTTCATTCTTAAATCCCTCGGCCCTTCTGTGCGTACCTCCGTCCCGGCTGCGTTCCTGGGGTGAGCAGGCATTTGCTGTGTCTGCGCCTCGGTCGTGGAATTCCCTACCGTTGGAAATTCGTTTAACCGACAATGTGGATACTTTTAAGTCGCGTTTTAAAACAACTAATTATTAAGTCCGTTTATTCTTTATAGCTCTCATCCTCTTTTCCTTAACCTTAATCTTACAAGGCGCCTTGAGACAGAGAAAGGCACCTTACAAATAAATGAAAATGATTATTAATTGGCTGTGTCGGGTGGTGACGGGTTTAACGACATCTATAGTTACGCAATCTAACAAAAAAAACTATTACGGATATTGGTCGTGAAAGCTAACGTGTTAAAATTAAAATACTGCACATCTATATATCACCCCATGATGCAGAGTCTTAGAGATTAGAGTGGTAAGTACGGTGCTGTAAATGTGGTAACTTTTTGTCTATTTGTATTCTTTCTTTATGCCAACTTCATATAATAAACGAATATAAAACACCTACAAACATGTCAAACAAGAATGTGCAAAAATAAGTTAATTTAAACAATGATGACGATTTAGTGATTGTCCGGTGTTTTTGAAAATCCGGTGCCTCCTACCCCAACTCCCTAAGCTGGTGCCGTTTGCAAGTGTTTGCGTTTTAAGTTAATGTTACTCAAATTTATACAGCACAGGGACTCCTCTACCTACTCAATACTTGACTTACGAACTTTCAGAGATTGGAACAAACCCGGTCCGGTGCGTCCAGTTGCCTGTTCAGACCGAGAGTCGTAAGTTCAACCGCCCCGCTCAATAGATGGTGGTGGCGGCATCTACATCTGCAGAACATTAAGAACCAGCAGCATCTACATCTGCAGACCATGAAGAACCAGTGGCATCTACATCTGCAGAATGTGAAGAACCAGTGGCATCTACACCTGCAGAACACGAAGAACCAGCGGCATCTACATCTGCAGAACTTGAAGAACCAGTGGCATCTACATCTGCAGAACATGATGAACCAGTGGGATCTGCATCTGCAGAACGTGAAGAACCAGCGGGATCTAAATCTGCAAAACTTGAAGAACTCATGTCATCTACATCTGCAGAACGTGAAAAACCAGTGGCATCTACATCTGCAATACATGAAGAACCAGCGGCATCTACATCTACAGAACTTGAAAAACCAGCGGCATCTACATCTGCAGAACATGAAGGACTAGTGACATCTCCATCTGCAGAACAGGCATGTACAGGAGAGTACACAACTTTCAAAGCCATTCCCCGTGTTTAGTGTACACGCCATACAACACGTTTGGAATCGACTTACTAACAAAGCAACTTACCTCTGGAACATAACTCATTCGTAAGTAAATAAGTCGCTGTATAGGGTATATAAATGTGTTTATGTACACGGTGTATATATATGTGTGTGTACAGGGTGTATATATGTGTGTTTGTGTGTTTGGAGCCATTGAAGAGGATTCTACAATGGTCACACAAAGTGCTTGGTCACAACTGAGCCGCGATACCCTCGCTGCTGATCTCGTCAAGGAGCTATAAACCATCGCCACGCGACACTCCGGTGGTCATACTCGCAGTAGCGGCGGCTTCGGGCTCAGCCGTCGAATCAAAGGCGGCGGTTACCGCATCATCGTCGTGTAACACTTCCCAATATGGTTCCGCGGCCGTCTGGAACGCTCTCTTTCCGATATTAGGAAGACGCTGCGAGCTATGCATCATCGCCTAGATTGACAAACTCATTTGTTTGGAAGCTGCAGCTTGTTTTGTGTTTAGTTTGTTGTCCTTCCCTGTCCCCCGAACCTCCGATTATCAACGGTCGGCTACGTACGGTGTGAAGGAAAGTTCAACGTACGTTGGTAAATCTGTTCAGACCTGAACGTTATTCTCCATCTTCACCTTCCCGCTTCACAATGGAGAGGGGAAATGAAGAAACCTTCGGAGTTAGAATCTTTAGTTATCCAGGGGCAATCTGATGAGCTATAAAGCTATTTTTCACAGATGTCCAGTAGGAGCACGGGAGATCGCAAAGTTACAACAACAAAGTACAATAACACGATAGGAGAGCAAAGTATAGGAAACGTAAATAAATTACTTAAAAACTAAACTATTTTTATTGTTACCAGGTAAGGCCCCTAATGAGCTGTGTAGTAGCTCTTTTTCAGAAGTAACCTGGTCATCACAAATGATAGCAGCTTAACTAAGTGGCTGACATCATCATCACATGGAAATGTATAGGAGCATCTATACATGTCCACATCATGTGGAGGGGAAATGGAGGACCCGGAGAAAAATCTCTGCGAGAGAGCGAGAGACATGCAAACTCCAAATATACAACAGGTGTCAGGGTCGGCATCGAACCCATGACCTGCAGTGATCCCAATGCTGCTGTATATTTGGAGTCTGCGTCTCTCTCCCAATGGTCGTGTCGATTTTTCTCCGGGTCCTACGGTTTTTCCCCGCTACGTTTAGAATCGGCATCACCGTGCGTTTAGAGTCTTTGGCTGCTAGCTATGAATTTCCACATGGTGATGATGATGATATCAGCCACTTTGTTGAGCTGCTATCATTTGTGATGGCCCAGGTCGCTTCTGAAAATGAGCTCCTACACAGCTCAGTGGGGCCTTACCTGGTAGCAATAAAAAAACGTTTAGTTTATACCAGGCGAGGGAGGTTAACATCTCGCCACAGCAGTGGATCAGGGTGGGTGGGGGGCCCGGGGTTGGGAAGTTACTACATCGACAAACGGCACTAAAATTAAAACCTCTCCCCCATGGTTCCACCAAAACACCGCTCTCTGTCCCAGACGGGGCTCCACGTCTCACGGCCAGAGTTTCATTCCAACTCTGGATTCACAGCCACGAAGCCCACACGAGGGGGGTTGGGGGGGTGTGTGGGTGGGTGATGGCAGAGCGTCCTCTATGACGACGCCGCCGACAACGTCGCCTTCGCCTTTACTGCCGCCGGCTTCTTTTCAAAGCCGCCTCGCGCGGCGGCAAGCAGGATGAGGAGGTGGTGGTGGGGGCGGTGGTGGGGGCGTTTCTCTTTGCCTGGCTCGCTCCGGCGGAGAAGGAGCGGTCGCCACCGCCGCCTCTGGACGTCTGCCGTTTTCTCTGTTCGCCACCTCCGTTTCCGCGGGGAACGGGAGCGTCGAACGTCCGAGCCGAGGCATCCTCCGGTTTGCCGTCGGACGGGGGCCGTGACGGCGGGCCATGGACGTTCTGGTGAATGTGAAGGGCCCTGGGGTCCGCGAACTCCTTGCCGCACGTGGCGCACCGGCGTGCCCTGCCAGCCTCGTGGACCCGCCGGTGGGCGACAAGGGTGTCCGACTGGGCGAATATCTTGCCGCACTGGGCGCACCCGTAGGGCTTCTCGCCCGTGTGGGTCCTCTGGTGGTTTCGGAGGTGCTCCGACAGGGTGAACTCCGTGCCGCAGACGGTGCAGTGGTAGGGCTTGCCGCGGGCGTGCGTCTTTTGGTGCTCGTGAAGATCCCCCGAGCGGTTGAACGCCAGTTCGCAATCAGTGCACTTGTAGGGCTTCTCCTCGGCGTGCGCCGCTCGGTGCTGGCGGAATATCTCGGCGTCGATGAACACCTTGCCGCACTCGGCGCACTTGTGCGACTCGCACGCGTCGTGTGTCGCCTGGTGGTCGATGAACACGTTCAGCTTGTCTGTGTTGAACGGGCAGTGGGGGCACCGGAACAGAGCGGGCTCCGTCCACCCCCTGTGCCGCTTCATGTGGTCGTCCAGGGCAGGCAGGCTGACCACGAGCCACTTGCAGATCGGGCAGAAGATCTTCATCTCCGCTCCGTTCCGTTCCGCGTTGGCACTGGGGCACACAAGGGCAAGGCAACAATCACAAGACGACAAATTGCGTGACGCGCCGCTGCACGATATCCATTCACGGGTGAACCGCTACACCTCGTTGATGATCTCGCTGAGGAGCATGAACCGTCGTGATGTGAACTCTCCAACCGTCAACCTCATAGCACCAAAAGCAGCGGTGCATTGTTGCGTGGCGCTTTGAGATCCGTTTCTTCTGCGGCCGTCTGGAACGCTCTTCCCTTCCGATATTAGGAAGCCACTGGGAGCTATGATGCACTTTAAAATCATCATCTCGATTGACAAATTAATTCCTTTAGAACTGCTTTTTGTGTTTAGTTTGTTGTCCTTTCCCCGCATCTGCGATTAACACAGTTGGCTCTGTCGAGGCGAGATGTTAACTACCTCTGCTGGTATACAGGTCTTGGGTTCGATCCCGACCCTGACACCTGTATATTTGGAGTTTGCGTGTCTCTCTCCCCATGATTGCGTGGATTTTTCTCCGGGTCCTCCGTTTTTTCTCTCCACATTTAGAATCAACATCACCACACGTTTAGAGTACAGTATTTGGCTGCTCTAAATTGCCACGTGATAAGCCACTTTGTTGAGCTGCTATCATTCGTGATGGCCAGGTCGCTTCTGAAAAAGAGCTCCTACATAACTCAGTGCTGGGGCCTTACCTGGTAACAATACAAAATTGTTTAGTTTTGGAAAGGTACGGTGCAAAATAATTTCAACATACACACATACATAGAGGAGTGAGGAACCAAAGATGAGCGGGGAAGGCAGCAGTCCAGCATTGAGCCAAAATTATTTTCCAAGCTCTGCGGCCCTTTATATATCAAGGTGTTATCAGCCAAGTAATGAGAGCTCATACGTGGGTGGAAACTGGAGCACCCGGAGAAAAACCCACGCATGCGATGGAGTAGCACCACCCCATACAGACGGAACAGATGGAGATTCGTCCACACACTCTGCTACTGTACCGCCTTTTCCCGGCAGAGCTAGGTGGTACGGCTCCTCCTCAACCGCCACCCACGGGTAGAAGGGAGTGAGATGGAACAGATGGAGATTAGTCCACACACTCTGCTGCTGTGCGACCTTCTACCGGCAAAGCCAGTGGGTACGGCTCCTCCTCAACCTCCACCCACGGATGAGAGCCTGGGCAGGTGAGAAGCTGGGCAGGTGAGAGCCTGGACAGGTGAGAATCCCCCATATGGCCTTAACAGGCAAGTTGCTAGATTTGAAGCTTTCGTGACTACAGGAATCCATACTCTTTGTGTACGTACACCAAGCCCTCAGGATGAACGGATATTCTGATCGTACAATCCGCAAAGCTGTCTCCCCAGCAATGGGGAGACAACCATCTGAGGATCCAACCAATACCATCACTTTACCATACATAGCAGGGGCTACCAAAAATATTTCCAAAATCTTAAACGAACAAAAGATCCAGGTTCGTTTCAACACAGCACACAAAATCCGTGATATGATCCCATCTGTAAAGGATGTGATTCCTGATATGCAATACCCGGGTGTCTACAAATTGAGTTGTGGCTGCGGCAGCAGTTACATTGGGGAAACGAAACAACACGTCTTGGACCGCGTTCGCGAACACAAGGCAGATCTGAAACATGGTAGCACCAATACCTCTGCTGTTGCTGATCATTGTTTTAACGCAGTGGGCTCACACGAAATTGACTTTTCCAAGACGAAGGTACTCTGCAAACCCACCGGCTATTATCAGAGATGTGTTCATGAAGCCATCCAGATATATAAACACAGACCAAACTTGAACCGAGAAGATGGGTACCAACTGAGCAATCATTGGAAGGACGTTATTAACCAGGTAAAGTCTTAACTGACTGTGATGTTTCCATTCTACCTGCCTATGTCAGCTGTTATTTCCGATTCTCTGTGTCTTTCTCTCTCTCTCTGTGTATCTCTAACTTTACTCCAGTGACCCGGGTGCTGCTGCGGGGTCCACTTTCTGCCCACCCCCTCTCCCCCTACTGCCGAGGCCTATAAAACCTCGGGCCAAGGCAGATCTCTCGCCTACTTTAGCAGTTTTTTTTCTTGCTGTGGTTGTCCCACCTGATGATGATTGCTTGTGTTGCTATGGAAACGTCGTCATCTATTATTTTTCTACCTACGTGGCTTTACCGAAAGAACCAAAGAGAATAGGCAAGTTGCTGTTAGAGAGTAGCGGCCTATGAAGGCTGGCACCATGGCACACGAGGGGGTACGTGGCCAACACCACGCAAATCCGCCTTTCTCTCCCCAGTGGTGATGTTTACTACACACACCGCACCAGGTTTCTCATTTGAGGCCGAGTCGACCTAGGGGAGGAGGTCCATGACCGGTTCAGATAATCCCGATCACTGGTGTTGGCCGTGAGCGGGAATCGAACTCGGGTCGCCGGGTTCGTGGCGCAGCGTAGCACTAACCGCTTGCACCACCGCTCCCACACAGAGACACACACTGACGCATAGACGAATACAGATTGAGACAGGGAAACTGTAAGACAAATGAAGAGACAGGCGGATGGATGCAGAGATGGGTGGACACAACAACAACAATAACCGCCATTCACCACTAAGTGGCGGTGATGTCACCACGACGCTTGTGCCAGACTATGTGCACCCTGAGGCCACGTGAAGTGTCGAACGCCTGCTGGCAGGAGGTCACGGGGCAGACCCAGGTGCCACGGGTCGACTGACTGAGATGACTGGCTGATGCACCACCTGTGCCCCCTACTGTGCCAACCTGCTGTGCTTTAGCCACCCGGCGCTCTGCTCATTGTTGTGAGCGTCGCTCCTCCGCCCTCCGTTGTTGTTGGAGGGCGACTACCTCCAACTGCCCAGTAGCATCCTACACGAGCCTCCTCCACAGAGGCCGATCTTGACACCGCTGGTACCAGTCATCGGCAAGTCCACTCAGCTCCACGTCCTCCTGTACCACATCACTCCATCTCTTCTCTAGCCCGTGCCGCGCCCATTTAGCCCCCTCAATCCGGCCGAACAAAAGCTGTTTCGGCATGTGGTGGCTGGGCATGCGGGCTAAATGACCCAGCCATCGCAGCCTTGCCCGCCGGAGGAGCTCACCGATGGGACCTTGCCCAGATCTTTCAAGGATTTGTGAGCTCCTCACACAATCCAGTCTGGTTAAACCCAGGATGGATCGTAGGCAGGCCAGCCTAAATGTTTCTAACCGGCGAAGATGTTCCATTAGGGGGGTCCACGTTTCGCAAGCGTAGAGAAGGGAGGGAATGACCGTGGCCGAGAAGACCTGAAGCTTAGTGCGGAGCGACAGACCAGGTAGCTTTCACACAGCGTTACGCAACCGATGAAAAGATATTGCCGCTCGACTGATTCGGAGTGAGACCTCTGCTGTTAAACTGGAGCCGGTCATAAGCACACTGCCCAGGTATGGGAAACTCTCCACTTGCTCCACAACTGCCCCATCACCGATTGGGAGGTGTGGGGGTGGAGTGTCCGATGGTACAAAATACCCAGGCAGATGCTTAGTTTTCGTGAGGCTGATGGTAAGGCCCCACCTCTTAGTGGCACGCTCCAGTCTCAGCAGCAGCATCTCCAACTCCTCCTCTGAATGAGCAGCTATTACCAAATCATCAGCATACATAACGTGGTTGAGAAAATAGGGAGCTATCCCTTGACTGCACCCGGGCATCGATCAGCCTCCCATTATATCTGTACCATATGGAGATTCCCCCGGTACAGCTATTGAAGGCTTCATGAACTACGTGGTCAAAATAGATGTTAAGCAATGTGGGAGCCAGAGGACATCCCTGTCACACCCCAAGGTGTACAGGGAATGGCTCTGAAGGTCCTTAATGATCGTGAGCAGAGGGTCAGGTACTCCAAAAGCACGAAGAACAACCCAGAGCCCAGGCCTACTGATGGTATTATAGGCCTTGACCAGGTCAATAAAGCAGAGATGTAGGTCTTGTTGGAATTCCCTACACCTCTGCTGTAGCAGACGGACAGAAAATATGGCATCTGTGCAGGACCGCCCTTTCCTGAAACCGCATTGGGGCTCCGCAAGCCTCTCCTCAGCGTGCCTGGCAAGGCGATGTTGAATAATACTTGCCAGGACCTTTCCCGGCACACTGAGGAGTGAGATGCCCCTGTAGTTGTTACAGTCTGTGCGGTCCCCCTTCTTAAAAAGGGGGACCACCAGGGTATCCTTCCAATCCTGCGGAACCCGTCCAGTGGTCCAGACTGTTGTTATGATGTCATATAGGGCAGTCTGTGCACAAACGCCACCCTCCCTCAGCATTTCGCTTGGGAGATCATCTCTGCCCGCTGCCTTTCCTGGTCTCAGACTCCGGATCGCCTTCAGTACTTCCTCAACAGATGGCACCTCAGCCAGCCACTCACAGGGGGTGACTTCTTCCAATATTTGAGGCACCGCAGCCTCAGCAGGGTCATCCTCACTTTGTGCCACGATGTTTTCCTGGCTGAGGGATTTCCCTCCCCCAGGACCTCACAGAAATGCTCAGAAAATCTGCAAACCTGTTCCTGGGGGTCGGAGATTGGATCACCGTTTTTTCCCCTAATGATGGTAATAGGTGTGGTGCTGCAGGTTACTTTTTTGATGGAGTTAAATAGAGATTTGTGATCACGAGCCACTGAGGCAGACTCCATCTCCTCAGCAACCCGCGACCACCACCCATCCTTGCAGCGCCTCACGGCTCTCCGAACCTCCGAGCAAAGGCTGCGGTAAGCCTCCTCATTCTCTGACGTGGGATTCTGTAGCCGATGACAGTGGGCCTGTCGCTTTTTCTCAACCATTCTGAACACCTCTTCTATCAGCCAGGGTCTCTGGGGAGGTCTTGAGCACGTACCCAAAGCAGCCATTACAGCTGCATGAGTCACAGTCCTAAACCTCGCCCATCTACCCTCGACATCAAGAGGAGTCGGGGACGATGCCAATCCCAGCCGCAAGCGATGATGAAATTCTCGCTTGCAACTTTCATCAGATAACTGAGACCAGGCCACTTTAGGTTGGAATGGGGTCCTGGGTGTACACCCACCACCGGAGTGGAAGAATTGCAGGTGCATCTTACAGATGACTAGTCGATGGTCAGAGGGCAGATCAGCTCCACGGTAGGTCCTGGTGTCAAGGACATGGGCTCGCATCCGCTGGTCCGTCACTATGTAGTCCAGCAGATGTTCTTGCTTGGACCCGGCATGCATCTATGATGTTGTGTGGATGCGCCGATGCCGGAACAGCGCGTTGGTATTTACAAGCCAATGGGCTGCACAAAAATCTAGCAGCCTCCTACTGTTGTTATTGAGCTGATCTGGCCCATGCCCTCCAATAACTCCAGACCAGGTGCCAGCATCATGACCAACTCGGGCATTGAAGTCACCCAACATGATGACTCTATCCCGAGGGGCCACTTAAGCCAGCACCTGTGACAGGTCATACAAGGCATCTGACTCATCGGCTTTGCCTGCATCCCTCCACGGATGTTCATCTTCGGTGGGGGCATAAGTAACCACGACCACCATTCCTCGCCTCCGGTTGATGGGAAGGCGAGCCCAAAGTAGCCTGGGGCTTACAGCTTCCCACACCTCACCGCCACGCTCCCATGCCCCCTTCATTCTTTTGGGTGGACACAAACCCCAGAGACACAGATAGACACAGACACACACAGATGGCCACAGATTGACACACAGACACAGATGGATACAGAAAGACACACAGATGCCCACTGATTGACACACACAGATTGACACAGATAGACAAGACAGACACACAGATGGCCACAGATTGACACACAGCCACAGATGGATACAGAAAGATACACAGATGCCCGCAGATTGACACACACACAGACAGACACACACAGATTGACACAGATAGACAAGACAGACACACAGAGATGGCCACAGATTGACACACACACAGACGGATACAGAAAGACACACACAGATGGCCACATTGACAGACGGATACAGACACACAGATTTGCACAGAGACGCAGACCGATACAGACAGACACAGACAGATGGCCACATATTGACACAGCCAGACACACACAGATGGCCACAGGTTGAGAGACAAAGACGGATACACAGAGACACAGACAGACACGGGTATTCTCCCACAGAGTGACACAAAGACACGGACTCACGCAGACTCGGCCGACTCGGTGGTGACGTCACCATTCCCTGCTCGACGTGACGTCACGTCTCTCTTTTTTGCAAGAAAACTTTTTTTTGCAAGAAATTATTTTTTGCAAGAAAAATGTTTTTGCTGTCGTTTTCCCACCTGATGATTGCTTGTTTTGCAATCGAAACGTCGTGATTTATTTTATTTTATACCTACGTGACCGAAAGAACCAAAGAGTATGTTGCCCGTGATGTCACGTCTCTTCGTCCCCCACCAGTCGTGACGTAACTTCTCGTGCTACCTTACCCTATCGGTCGTGACGTCACATTTGTTGGTCCCCCAATGGTCGCGAACGTCACGTTTCTTCGCCCCCCCCGCCCCCCATCGGTCGTTACGTCACGTCTCTTCGTCCAATCACCTTTCGGTCGTGACGTCACGCCGGCGCGACTTGCTCCCACTTTGCTCCTCCCTTACGTCACTCGCACGCGACGGAAGGAATCCGACGGAGAGGGAGCGGAGGGCGAAGAGCGACCCGGAGGCCGTGGGAGAGAGACTGTGGGAGAGAGACCGTGGGAGAGAGACTGTGGGTGAGAGACCGTGGGTGAGAGACTGTGGGAGAGAGACTGTGGGTGAGAGACTGGGAGAGAGAGACCGTGGGAGAGAGGCCGTGGGAGAGAGACTGTGAGGGAGACTCTGGGAGAGACTGTGAGTAATAGAGAGGGAGAGATCGTGGGAGAGAGATCGTGGGTGAGAGACTCTGGGAGAGAGACTCTGGGAGAGAGACCGTGGGAGAGAGACTGTGGGAGAGAGACTGTGGGAGAGAGACTGTGGGAGAGAGACTGTGGGTGAGAGACCGTGGGAGAGAGACTTGTGGAGAGACTGAGTAATAGAGAGGGAGAGACCGATGGAGGCCGTGGGGGAGGCCCTGGGAGATTGTGAGAGGTAGGTCGTGAGAGGGAGATTGCGACAAGGAGATCGTGAGTGCAAGATCATCAGAGGGAGATCGTGAGAGGGAGATTGTGAGAGGGAGATTGTGAGAGGGAGATTTTGAGAGGGAAATCGTGAGAGGGAGATCGTGAGAGGGAGATCGTGAGCAGCACCTTGTGAGTAGAGAGACCGTGATATAGAGAATGTGGGAGGCATCGCGAGGGAAAAATCGTGAGCAGAGAGAGATTTGAAACTTGCAGGCCGGCCCTGCTTGCGATCCATCGTGGGTGTAACCGGCAGGCTGAATCACAGTGTGAGGAGCTCACAAATACTTGAAAGTTCTAGACACGGTCCCTATCCTTGGCGAGCTCCTCTAAGGCTACGTTGACTGGGTCGTGTAGCTCGCATGCCCAGCCACCGGACGTCCAAGCAGCTTCTGTTGGGCTGGATAGAGGGGGGCTAAACGGGCGCGGTACGGGCTGGGGATGAGATGGCGCTGATGCGGTACGGGAGGATGTGGAGCTGAGTGGACTTGACGATGACTGGTACCAGCGGTGTCAACATCGGCCTCTGTGGAGAAGGAGGCTCGTGAAGGACGCTGCTACTGGGCAGTTGGAGGCAGTCCCCCTCCAGCAACAACGGAGAGCAGAGGAGCGACGCTCACAACAACGAGCAGAGCGCTGGACGATTAAAATGCACACATTTTGCACAGTAGGAGGCACAGGTGGTGCAGCTGCCAGTCATCTCAGTCAGAATCAGAATGTTTATTTAGACTGCAGGAGGAGGAATCCGATGAGCTGTCAAGCTCTTTTCCACATATCCAGTATGGCCATGGGGAGTCAGCGATTTACAACGGCAAACACACGATACACACACACACACGATACACACAAACACACGAAACACACAAACACGATAGGAGTGCAAAATACAACAAAAGGTAAGTAAGTCGCTAAATGGAAATTGTTTAAGTCCGATCTATCAAGATTGGGAAAGGCAGCAAAAACATAAAAGTAGCCAACCGCGCTAAACGGAGGTGCAGGGGAAGAGCAACAAATTAAACACAACAACAAGCAGCAGTTCTAAAGAAATGAGTTTGTCAATCTTGATGATTTAAAAGTGCATCGTAGCGCCCAGTGGCTTCCTCATACCAGAGAGGAAGAGCGTTCCAGACGTCCACCACAAGCAGCAACAGCATCTGAAAGTTCCATGCGACGCAGCGACGACCACTGCCTTTGTTCTACAGTTAGTAACCGGTGTCCGTGGTTTCTAGCTTCATGCCTTGTTTGCGATACTTCACAGGGGTGGGGCGAGGGAGATTAATTTTCCTTCGTGTGCCTCACTCTTTGCCCCAGTGCCAGGACGGGAACGATGAACGAGGGAGGAGAGATGAAGATCTACTGCCCGATCTGCAACTGGGTGGTGATCAGCCTGCCCGCCCTGGAGGACCACATGACGAAGCACAAGGGCCTAACCAAATCCGTGCTGTATCAGTGCCCCCACTGCCCGTACAGCACGGACGAAGCGGCCATGCTGATCGGCCACCAGAGGAGCCACGCCGACGAGAAGCTCTACAAGTGCTGGGTGTGCGATGAAGTTTTCGCGAATTCAGGAGACTTCTGCTCCCATCAGAGCATGCACATCAATCGGGCACGACGCAGGAAGTCGATCGTCCCACCGCCAGGAGACGTCTCACCAGATGAGAGAATCCGCGCGGTCGAGAGGCCCTACCACTGCAACGTCTGCGGGGAGGACTTCACTCAGTCGCACCACCTCCTCAACCACCAGAGGATCCACACGAACGAGAAGCCGTACGCGTGCACCGTGTGCGGCAAGGCGTTCGTGCGCTCGGACAACCTCGTCATCCACACTCGGGTCCACACGGGCGAGAAGCCGTACAAGTGCGCCACTTGCGGCAAGGCATTCAACCAGTCGACAGCGCTCCTCAACCACAAGAGGACCCACACGGGCGAGAAGCCCTACGGGTGCGCGGTGTGCGGGAAGCGATTCGCCCAGTCGAGGGTTCTCGTCAAACATGAGAGGACCCACACGGGCGAGAAGCCCTACGGGTGCGCCACGTGCGGCAAGTCCTTCGCCCAGTCGGGTACCCTGGGCATCCACAAGCGCACCCACACGGGCGAGAGGCCGTACACGTGCGACGTGTGCGGCAGGTCGTTCACGCACTTGGGCACCCTCCACGTACACAAGAGGACGCACGCGGGCGAGAGGCCCTTCACGTGCCCCACGCGCGGGAAGGCCTCCGCCGAGGCAAGGAGCCTCCGGGCGTGCCGGCAGGCCCGCGCGGGCTCAAGCGCGACGACGCCGCCGGCCCGTCCCCCCCTACTCCGCCGCCGTGCCCGCAGTAGAGCCAGGCTCCACGAGAGCGTGACTGCCCCTGGGGAGGTCGTGGCGAGCCTCGGGGACAAGGGTCCCGTAGCGACCCCCTCGGCGACCCCCTCGGCGACCCCTTCGGCGACCCCCTCGGCATCGCTAACATCAGAACACGGAGAGACCCTCAGCTTCGAGACGTGGCCAGGGGTGAAGGTGGAATGCGAAGGTGAAGATCCTTCCGTCTCCCTGCCGATCGTGAAACGGGAGCGCGGAGGGATCGCCAGTTCCGAGACTTGGCCAGGGGTGAAGGTAGAACTGGGGGGGGAGGATTTTTCAGTTCCCCTCTCGATCGTGAAGCAGGAACGGAAAGAAAGCCCCGGCTGTGAGACGCGGCTGGGGTGAAGGTGGCACACTGGAGGCTGAGTCTCTGCTTTGGGAACGAATGTTGAGGTCTACGTGGGAAGAGTGAAGGAGGAGGCTCCAAGCAAGCATGTCGAGTGAGAGTGAGTCCTCGACTGGGACCTTTGCTAAGTTGGTGGCACGGGTAGAGGATGTGTACTACACAGAGGGGGCAGGTCTCGTGGAACGGAGATTAAATTCTCGAGAAGCTGACCGAGAGAGAGAAATGTTGAGAAAATGACGCGCGATACATCGGCCGATCGAAAGCACGAGCTTAATATCTTTAATTATATTTACGAGATGTTCAGAGTTTTTGATGAAGAGGTCCTACCGATGTTGGGCTGTATTTGTTTTATTACGTAGTGTTAATTTGTATTTGGCAGAGCCTATTGTACTATGATTCTACATGGGACACCAGGTTTGTGAATCATTGGTAGCCATGAAGTCTTGATGTTTTTGATGCCCTTGGTTTGATCAGGTATTGCTCTTCTTTGTGTAGCCGGTATTGGTTTAATGTAAATGAACCACAAGTCCAATTGTGAAGGAAAGTAATAATGAACATGGATTAAGCCCATAGGGTCACGTTAGTGCACAGTAGGCCACGCCCACCAGTAGAGTAATCAATTCAGGGTACAGGGCACCTATTCAGATTCGGGTGGACGCCATACAGATGCACGAATGCTCCTCAGAAGATCACTTTGAAATAAAGAGTTGCAGTCACACAATCCTCTGGTGTCCCCTGCTGGTGGAGTCATCCGATTCTCAGAAGGAGGGCAGAACACAACACAGAGTATCCACTCATCGCCTCCGAACTCATCTACTATTGTTGGGTTTTTTGTACTTATTAACCGGCCTGTCCCCTCGTAACGAACACGGGAGGAGAGGGATAGGGCGGGCCGGTTACACTTGGTGTCGTGATTCTTTTCCTTATCAGCCATTGTCATTTGGCTGCCGAGGTTGTGTTGCAGGCATGTGGGTATCTGACCACAGATACAATTTGGTATTTCCCCTGGCGCAGTCCGTGGCCTCCATTTAAAATTGGAATCATCGAGAGTATTCTATACTAGCTTTACTACCCGGCTTTGCCCAAGACTTGGATTCTTGTCTTGGATGAATACACGGACTGCGCGGAGGGTGGGGGGGGGGGGATGCATGACGTCACCAGGCACACTGCGTAATGCTGCCGCATGCAGGTGACATCACAGATGTGACATCACAGATGTGACATCACAGATATCACCGCTTACTTGCCGTGTAAAATATATCCATTATTGCGCCCCCCCCTCCCCAAAATATGTCTATTGTTATACTTTTTGCATTGTGTACAGTCTGGAAGCTGCCCACATGCCCAAATTTCAACTTTGTTGCGTGTCGGGAACTATGCAAAACATTTCGAACAGACACATTCACAAATTTCCCTTTTATATATATATAGACTAGCTTTACTACCCAGCTTCGCCTGGGACTTGGATTCACCACGCCCGGCCGCCTTTGGCGCCCCAGTGGCGATGTTCACACACCACACCAGTTACTCGTTTGAGGCTGAGTCGACCTAGGGGAGGCCCAGGACCGGTTCAAATAATCGTCACCGGTGGTGGCCATGAGCGGGAATCGAACTCGGGTCGCCGGGTTCGTAGCGCAGCGTAGCGCTAACCACTACACTACCGCTCCCCCCACACATACACGCACGCGCGTCCATAGGTACACATACACACAACTTTCAGGGTGCGTGCGGTAGTAAACGACTGAAATAATGAAGCAATGCTGCGCGAAGAACGCCTTAGACCTGCAACACATTTCTATGGCACTTTACTCGCGTGACGCTTCCGCATGCGGGTGACATGACAGATGTGACGTCACAGCTCACTTGCCGTGCAAAATATATGCATTATTGCGCCCCCCCCCCCCCCCCCAAATAATACAAAAGTCATTTTTTATAATTTTTGCATGATGTACAGTCTGGAAAGTACCCACATGCCAAATTTAAAGTTTGTGGCATTTCGGGAAGTATGCTAAACATTTTGAACAGACACATTCACATATTTCCCTTTTATATGTATAGATGAATAATGCGCTCTACCTAGCATTTACCTGTTATAAACCTTTTTCATGTGTAGTACCCCAGTAATTACCTTGTAATCTGGTAATGTGTATGAGGTAAGGGTAAAAGGTAGGGTAAAGGCAGGCTGGTTGCTTTTGATCTTTTACCTTACCTTGCTAAAGGGTAAAAGTAAGGGTAGAGTGATTGTATTGTGGTAAGGTAAAAGGTAGGGTAAAGGGAGGCTCGTTGTTTTTACCTTACCTTGCCGAGGCCTAAATCACACGAAATCGCTAATTAAACTAATTGAAAGTTGACGTATGTGAAAAAGGAATAGCGCTTGCTCACCGCGGGGCTTACGGCGTGGTACCTGGCTATTTTATTTTTACGTAAACTCCATCGTTGGAGAGCCAAGCACGCGACCACACACAAACCCACACACATTTTTTTACTTTTTTATATATATAGATAGCCCTGTGAGCCATGCAGCTCTTAACTCGGGTGCAACCGCAACAAACAAAAACATGAACAAAGAACATCTTAAAGTGACTACGCACAACAGAAAAATCCAGGAAAAAACAGCAAAGTCTTCCAGAAAAAAACACCGTATATCAGCGCTGTGTGCAAAAATCCCAGTGGGATGCAAGTCAAACAATAACAACCATAAGGCAATTTAGATTAAAGTTATCAGGCTAACTCTGCACTTCAACAAACAAACGTGGCTAAACCATGTTTTCGAAATCACCAAAATAAAGCTCTAAAAATAATGTAACATTGATCATAGGAACTGTGATTCAAATTTTACAATAAACGATATACATAACATGTACGACCAAACTTTGCAGCCATAGCTTGCAGCATGAGTCACTCCATAACAGCAGGAATATCAGCAGGAGTATCAACAATTTCCAATGCACCTTTAAAGATCAGTACACTTTAATCAAAACTCAAGATCTTCCTTTGCAGCTGTCGGGGCCGCTGCCCCCCCCGACTCCTCCGTCGTGATCGAGCTACTGCTCCCGGACGGCTCTGTCGGGTGCGGGCTGCCGCCCCCCAATTCCTCGCTCCCCTGTACCCCCGACTTTGCTGCTGCCCCCCGCGTATTCATGATTCAATTGGTGGAACTGACCGCTTTACGCTTCCGATTGGAGGGGGACACTCCGCCCCGATTTAAAGGTCGTTTAAACAGCCGCGCGTGTACGCGAACACCAGGTGCTCTCCCGAACAGTTGGATGTAATTTTCCGTACGCCCCCGCGACCTGACCCACGACACTCGACCCTCCTTTCCGCGCTCACAGAGACCGCTCGACACGGTGTATACTCTCCTGACGATTTATTATCCGCAAATAAACAAACTAAACTGTGTGTGTCAGTGCGGACCAGCAGGACAGGTCTAACCTATCTCTCTACTGCCTGATACTTAATTGGCCTGTCCGTTCTCTATTCTCTCTCAGAATTTTGCCCCTTTTGTCTTACCGCTCTTCCTTGTACTTACGGTCCGACCTCGCAGTGATGTAGGTCGCGGAAAGATGATGCTGTAAACGGAATCTGGCTGTTCTCTGCCCCGTCTCACGGACGTGCGAGTAACAGTGAGGTGACGACTCGTCGATCCCTCCCCCCTGTTGATCCCCAGCGAAAACGGCCCTGTGCTTCCCCAAAGCGTCCCTTTTTATGCTCGCTTCAAAGCCCCCGCGCCGCCGTCCCGTTGGCCTCTTATCCAATCCGATCACCTCCCCTCTCTGACGCTCCACCCCCCCACTGTTTAGCCAAGTGCACCGACTCAATAAGCGAGCCGGTGCCGCATCATCGCCGCCAATCCGCGGTTAAGCCATGGTGCATCATGGGTAGAGACGCCAATCCGCGGTGCATCACGGGTAGAGACGTTTAATCCGTGGTGCATCATGGGTGGAGACGTTAACCCGTGGTGCATCACGGGCTGAGACGTTTAACCCGCGCTGCCCCGCTCCCCACCTGTCTGCTGGTCCGTGTGTGTCTTGGGCATCTCCTCACTGCGGATCTCAGTGAGTTCGCCGTGGTCATTTAATTTTAAGTTAAGCCACAGCGCCGCAGTGCCATTTGGCCTGGGGGCGGGGGGGGCCTGCCAATTCCCTGACCCTGAGAAACCGTGGAGCACCCCCACGAGGGGGCCTCTCAGGTAAAAACTCAGGGCAGGTGCCCCCCCTCCCCACGAGGCCCGACGTGAGTGTGTGTGTGTGTTTATGTTGGGGGGGGGGGGGGGGGGGGGCAGGGAGAGCGCTGTGACGGGAGCCGGGTGGCTTCTCGGTCGCAGCAGCACAGCGACGGCCCCGGTTTCGACGGAGCGGCTTCGCTGTTGTGGCACCACACAGCGGTCATCCGTTGTACGTTGCTAAATTTTGTTTCATATTACGTACCGCATACATATGTTACTGTGTTACTATGTACTTATCTATATATATAAAAGGGAAATTTGTGAATGTGTGTGTCTGTTTGAAATGTTTAGAATACTTCCCAACAATGCAACAAACTTAAAATTTGGCATGTGGGTAGCTTCCAGACTGTACACAATGCAAAAAGTATAAAAATAGACTTTTGTATTTTGGGGCAGTGTTGAGTCTATGGGTAGTGTTGAGTCAATGGGCAGTGTTGAGTCTATGGGTAGTGTTGAGTCTATGGGTCGTGTTAAGTCTATGAGTAGTGTTAAGTCTATGGGTAGTGTTGAGTTTCAATTTTGCAGACACAACGCCACGCCCTCGTTGCGCGTGACGTCATATCTCGTCGCCCCCACCACAGATCGTGACATCTCTTCGCCCCACCCCCCACCGGCCATTACGTCAATGTCACTTAGCCCCCCACTTTTCGTGACGTAACTTCTCATGCCCCCCACCCGACCGGTCCTGAAGTCACGTCTGTTCGTTGCCCACCGGTCGCATCGTCACGTCTGCTATAGACCGCCTTGTGGGAAGGATGTTGAAGCTGCAT